TGTTTGATTAACGAGGGAGCTGCCACACAGCTTATCTAGAAAGATGCACAATGCCATAACATAAACGGGCATAAAGAGGCAAGCGTTTGTCACCCACAGTGCCAGTGTCACACAAAAGACAAAGGATCATTTTTCATGTCTCTACCAGGGAATGCAAGCTTGTTGGGACATGATGGCAACTCATTGATCTTGGAAAAATATCTAAGTAATTTCTTCTTCAACTAGAGGGGGAGCCATGAATTCAGGTTCATGTATTCATGGCCCCTTGTTCTGTAGCACCAGATGAGAAACAAGGAAAAGGAGACTATCACATTGCATTTGATTATATTGCCTGGTGTTTGATTTTTGGGTGATGAGGGTAGGCTGCAGGGGGAAAATGAAGATCGGGCAGACTAGAAGCATGAAGGGTCACACAGTTTGTTTATTCACTGGACCATTAACTCAGCAGTAACCATCTGAGATGTTTTATTGGTTTAGAACCTGGATTTGAAAGCTTCCTTTAGTTGTGACTCCTAGACTCACCAGACTACAGCCAAAGCTATAATTTCCCACTGGAAAAAAACAAGATGCTTGAAAAACACAAGCACATCATAACTAGTGCACTGCTAATCTGTCTGAATCCAGGGTCTTGCTTACGGGGAAGTACCCTACCCCTTGCACAGGCTGCTGACTGAAAATATGACTGCGTTAGGATGAGTGGTACCTCAGATGCTGGGCATGCCTGCTGTTACCAAGCCAGTGCTGGTGTGCTGCTAGGGAGAGACTTTTCCAGTCTACCACTTCAGAAGAGGGGTGCTTCAGGAATAGTATCAGAAACAGTGTGGCCCAGCAGGACCAGGTCAGTCCCTCTGTACTCAGCACTGGTGAGGCCACGCCTCGAACCCTGTGTTCAGTTTTGGGCCCCTCATGGCAAGAAAGACATTGAGGTGCTGGAGCTTGTCCAGAGAAGGGTAATGGAGCTGGTGAAGGGTAAGGTGCACAAGTCTAATGAAGAGTAGCTGAGGGAGCTAGGGTTGTTTAGCCTGGGGAAAAAGAGGCTCAGAGGAGATCTTATTGCTCTCTACGGCTACCTGAAAGGACCTTCTAGTTAGGGGGGACTTGGTCTCTTCTCCCATGCAACAAGTGACAGGATAAGAGGAAATTGCCTCAAGTTGTGCCAGGGTAGATTAAGACTGGATATTAGGAAAAATTTCTTCACCAAAAAGGTTGTCAAGCTCTGGAACAGGCTGCCCAGGGAAGTGGTAGAGTCATCATCTCTGGAAAAGTATTTAAAAGATGTATAGATGTGATGCTTAGGGACATGGTTTAGTATGTTTAGTAGTGGACTTCACAGTCCTGGATTAATGGTTGGTCTTGATGAATTTGAAGGTATTTTCCAACCAAAATTATTCTGTGAATCTAAACCCCATCATACAAGAGGGTACAAAGCCCATATAAGATGGCCTTATCTCAAATTGTGATAGGAACCATTGGCAGATGTTGGGCTGTGAAAATACGCAATAAAAGTTCAGAGATAACTTTAATTCCTTGAATTACGTTCCATCAGCAGGGCACTGTAAAGCAGTCATGTAAGCTGAAGAGAAAGCAAGGGCCAGAAGGCAGTATTCAGACTGAGCATGCACAGGAGCACCAAACCTTCACCAAAGGACACGTAAAATAAAGCTGACAGAAGAGATATAACCACAGGCACAAATAAAATGCAAAATTCTTTGGGGCATCTTAATAAACTCTCAGACTGAACAGAGATAAGGGCAGACAGACCCTCTGGCATTTTCCTAACAGTCAGAAATGGTGAGGGAAAGCTCCCTCATAGCCTCAGAATCCTTTGCAGGTGACTGATGGTGTGAAGTCAGACACTCTCCAAAGAGTACAGCACAAGCTTGTTTCCAGATAACAGCTCATGGTCTTATCCCTCCCTCCCCTAATTTCCTCCCCCTTGCCTTTGGGCCTGTCACATTCCATTTGGTAAAGATGATCTTTGCTGCTTCTGTTTAAGAGTATGTTTGGATCCTAAAAGGTGGTTTAACAAGTTTCAGACAGACTTACTCCTGGGGCTGCCATAGAGGTTCAGCTACCATCCTCAGTCACTGAGAGAAGGCTGAAGCCCAAAGCCTGAGCATATCCAGGATCTCCCCTCACATGGATTCTGCCTTGGTGACCTGAAAAATAAAAATCCTAGGAATGATTATTTTCTTAAAGGCTCTTTCACTTCAGAAGTAGGATAGTCACCATCAAAAGTCCAACCAGCACACCTCAGCAGGACAAGAGATGGACCATTGGCTACAGGTGATTGTAAAATCAGTCAGATCAGACTTCATCCACTGAAATTAGTGCCCGTTTTCTCAAAAAGATCTGAAACCCTTAGGTGTGCCTGTGCAGGCATGTCCTGTGTCACTGAGAAGTGATGGATTACCCCTGAAGCTGCAGGTGCTACCCAGCACACAATGCAGCAGGATTAACCTCTGCCTGTAACAGGGTTATAAGGCTCATTACCCAGCAACTTAATGAAGGCTCACCCTGACACAACAGTATCGACTTCGGCTCTCATGTGAGCTCGGATCTCACCACGCATATCCCCAGGTTGGCACAGGAACATCCCCAGGAAAAAAAACAAGAGCAAAGACAATTTCTACCTTAATGGGATTAGCAGGCAGCAATGCTATTAGTTCTCCAGCTCCCTGCCTCCCACTTCCTCCCCAGCCAGGGCCTCATCCTCCTAAGGTTTTGCATTCAGTCCTTTGTCCAGGTGTCACATCACACCTTCCCCTTACAGCCCAGAGCAGCTCAAAGCCCATCTCGTTGGGCACAGTAAGTGCTTCCCTACACTGCACCTGCCTATGCTGGAAACAGCTCCTCTGCTTACTTCATCAGATTAATACAAAACATGCTATCAGCACATTGGCAGGCTCTTAATATCTTTGCTGAGGCCTTTAATGGCCTCAGGTCTTGAAAGGCATTTCATTCATCTGGTGACCGCCAGGGGTGCTCTCCCCCTGCACCCCCTTCCTCAAAGCAGAGATAAGAGCACAGCTATTTTAAAAGCAGGAGATGAGATAAAAGCACTCCCTTCAGTTCAGATGCTGCTGCCATTCCATAATTACCTTCATCTAAATTTTCAAAGGAAAAAAAAACAATCAAAAAATCATTTCAAATCACTCTCACCACGTTAGTCATCTCATTCTTGATATCAATATCAATAAAAGAAAGTGGGGACTTTATTATTTTTTTAATAACATTACCCTTCAAAGCACTATCTTGAGCTATTTTTTCAAATGCCAGCATGAAGGCAGCCGGGTTGCACTCTTCTCTGTAGTTGCTTGTATCACTTTGGGCTACCTGTACACTCAGGGTCAAAATGACATTTCTCCCTCCTATTTCCTCCCCCTCCTCTCCCCGGTTCTGTAAAGCAGAAAATGTGCCAGCCATCTGACAAAGTGTTCCTTCAGCACCTGTAGGAACCTGTGGCCCTGCCCTCCACACACTGCAATTGCAGTTCACATCTTTAAACCAGCATTATTTACAGCAACCCATTTCCAATACACCACAGCTCCTTATGGGAGACACACACAGTCCACATATTTGTTAATCTACAACGTTCCTTTGTGAAAACCTACAGAAATACACAGCTTGGGATCTTATTCTAGAGCAGAATCATCCTCCATGCAAAGAGCTATACAGAATAACTGTTTCAATGAGTCTGAAAAAATAATAGGGCAAACAAGTACCTAGAAGTTAGAAGAAAACAGGGAATTCAAATATTTGTTTATGTTTTTGATCACCACCTGAATTTTTGCAAAGAGAACTTGAAACAGTTACCTGCAAGTCAAGACTTACCTTTTTTTTTCTTCCTCACCTTAAATCTGCAAAAAATCTTCTTTTAAATTGAATGGATTTGAAAGATCACAAATGTATGGGTAAGACAGCACTACTCAGTGGTCAGGAAGCTGGATCTTGGAAGATGCAGGTTCTGTTATTCCTGAAACTCATCTTTATGTTTCTCCCTGTCTCAGGTATCCCCTACTTAAAAAACACTGCAAATCTTCCTCCCAACCTTAATAACAGATAAAAAGAAAGAAGAAAGAGTAACAAGAGTAACAGTAAAAAGAAAAAAGAAAGAGTACTTGAGAAACATGACTTCAACAAAGCAGCCAAAGGATTTCTATTTAGCTTCCTGAAGGAAGCTGACAATTGGTCTAGAATGATTTTCACATATTTCAGGTAACATATACCAGACAGACCAATTCATTCTACCAAACCCCTTCTACTGTGAGTGCTGCACTTGCAGCTTCACTTGGGCTTATGGTGCATTTCTATGTGAATTTCTAACCCTGACCTGCAGTCAGCTCCAGAGATTGGCTTTGCTGATGAAGATCTGCTGCATCTTTTTGTGGCCTTTTTTTTTTCCACTGTAGAAGCTCAGGTATGATTTTATTTTATGTAATCCATGTCTCAACCAGCATATCTAACACGACACCTTGAAAATGGATATGTAAGCCAGCTCCTTTATTCCTGAAGCAAAGTACTCTCCAAATTCACTTGGGGTAATTCCTTGGTTCTGCTAACTCCTCTGCTCTGCACAGGCTGCCAAGGGAGAACAATAAATACAGCAACAGATGCATGGAGAATTTTTGGTCTTGACTTTGCACCATATCTCAGTAAACAGAATTTAGCAAAAGAGCAGCCAAATATCAACCATATTTCCTTAGTCTGCAAAGGCACTCATTGTGCAGCATTTAAATATTTCTTATTCAGGTAAAAGAGCTGGAACGCTTAAGAAATCTCCAAAGGAGTTTTTTATATACGTATATATATATATACACACACATATACACACACACACATATATATATCTCAAACAGCCAACCTTGCTGTCTTCCCTGTATCCCATACACTCTGCAAGCTAGTGCTACCTTGGATGCAGTGTTGGGCGAAGAATGTTTACTAAGGTAACTCTGTCACAAACAAATGAGAAGAAAAATCTACTCTGTCAAACACAACATCATACTTCATCACTGTGCTGCAACATGACTCCCATCTGTCAAGGAAATGGCAGGTATTCCAAATAAATGTAACTAAGATTCATTCAGTCAAACTGATGCGGCCAGGGTGTTCCTCCAGAAGTGAGTGGGTTTGGGTAAAGCTGAGCTGTTACTCCTGTTGTTCTTACACAGGTGAAGGTTCTTGTACTTTTGTGCTAAGAAATGACAGTGGTTTAAATCTGAAGGATTTACAGGTTGTGGTATCAAATAACAAGATGTGGAAGGTTTTACTTCAGGGTAACTGATAGGAATTAACCTTAGGTAAGAGCTACTAGGAAAACAAAAATAAAGCCACCTGTAGAGTGGCTTTTGGAAGCATACAGGAAGTGATGGTCTCAAATCAGTTCTCAGTGAATAGGGGTCTTCTGCATGGTATACAGCACCAAAGCAACTGCACTGCTGAAACACTTAGTACTCATTCCTTCAGAAATGCTAAGGGTGTGACCAGCCCCAAAACTGCTCTACCTCTTCTCCAGTGGTCCCCTCAATAAGGCTGTAAGGAATACTACTGGGATTTTGGGAAGCAGAGAATCATGTTTCAGTTTATCTATTCACAGTCTGTTTGGCAGATAAACAGAAAAGTTAATTCCCCAGAGAGATCAATCCAGTACTTTTCCAAAGTGCTTTATGCAATATGCATACCCTCAACTTCACTTTGAAAAGCAGAACTGTGAATTTCCACATGAAGATGTCCTGTTTTCAATTAATAACAGCACATCATTTTGGACTACAGCTCTCCAAACAGTAAAAAGCTGCTTATTTCTCTCTCCAACAGATAACTGAGGCTGACTGATCAAGAGACTGCTTACGAACCAGCAAGAAAAGAAGCCGCACTCAGAAACCACTGCTGCCTATTTAATTTTTAAGGTATAAAAATTAAGATCTTTAAACAAATCAAAGAAGAGAGAATAAAAAAGATTAATCAGGGAGCTTAGCTGGAGAGTATGGTATTTATTTTTATAAGCAGCTGTCTTCTGAATCAACATTTCTCAAGCATAGCTCTTGCTGGGATGTGACTGAATGAGCCAGCTCTGAGACCCCAGCATTCCCTCCCCTGCAAAGAGCCCATTATGACAGCCTCAACAGCTCCATCTCCCCTGTGCTGCTGGTGTGAATTCTGGATCCACAGCTATTTTGGGGCAGTTTGCCAGCATCAAACAAAGGTTACCTGAGAATTTGGTTATCTGAGAATTTGGGCAAAGGCATGTGATTTAATTAGCGAGGATAATGGTAACACTGCCGTGCCTTTGCAAAGGTAGCAAGTGGAGAACAGTCATGGAAGAAAAATACGTCAACCCAACCTCTCATATAGATGCAAATATTTAGATGTAACATTTGAATCTGTTCTCCTTAGTCTGGTAAAGTAACTTTATAACATAAGGGGTACTTGTTAACAATAGTCCTTTGAGTGATTTTGATAAAAAGAGTGGCTACGATCCAGATGTCAAGTGGGCCTGGACTTCATGGGGCTGGACAGTTCCCATGATAGTGGTGGTGCCTGCACCAGCATCTGCCAGGGAAAGAGTCCTGACATGGGACTGCAGCCAGACACGCTGCCTCCACAGAGCATCTCAACTTGAATCTGGCTCACACGTCTGACACGTGGATCACAGACCTGGAGATAAACAGAGATGCTGTGCTGGGAATGTAAGTGGTGGGAAAGTGGCAGGCAGAAGTGAATGCTGAAGGCCCTTCGGCTGTGTTAGTAAATCTGTATACAGCACAGAGCACAAATTTCTGCTGAAGCCTCTAGAGCTTTGCAACAAAACAAAACACAACTGGTTCAGATGCCTTATCATTGGTAATACAAACAGAATGGCAAAATGAGAAATTATGAAATTAAGTGATTTTCATTTGTATAATATATTTTTATACACGCAGGTACATGTGGGTTTCCCACATACCTTCGTTTTAAGAACATTATTTAAAACCCACAAAGATTTAACAAAACTTAAAATGGAATGCAAAAGAAGTTGTAAGAAGCCTCACGTAGGAGGCTATAAAACTAAAACAACTGAGGCTTCATGAGGGGACATGCTCACTTGTAAACAGTATTAAAACACCAATTTTATTCAGGAATACAGAATACATTTTTGAAGATTTCCAGTTTACAAAAGTTTAAGACAAGGTTACGTTTCAACATACAACTTCCCTTAAAGCGTTTAGATAACTTCTCCATTTCAAGTTGACAAAGCCCCTCAAATCAGAAGGAAAAAAAAAAGGACAAATGAAGGCCACTGTCCTGTACTGGGATACATTAAGGCAGAATCCAGCACAGTATTCAAATTCTTTCTGCAGTCCACATTTTAGTCCATGGGTGTAATATAACCTTGTGTTAATAAAAAAATACTTCAGATCTATTAAGAACTGCAAGAAAAGCCCTTGTCTTACAGTTTTAATTACAGACATTATATGCAAAGTAACTTCCAATATGCAACAGTTAAAGACAGTACTTGTCATCTGATCACCACATTAAAAATACAGCATTAAATTTTTCCTTCATTTATACAATTTTAAATATTCATTAAAAATCAGAATCAGTGTCCCTCCATCCTTTTCATCATTAATAGTTTTTCTTATCTGCTAAAACCACTTGTCTTTCCTAAGATGTCTAAAAAGTAAAGAGCATAAGATTAACAAGCTGCAGCATTAATTAAAATAAGAGTCATCTCTTTCCTCCACTCAGTTTCTAAATCTATCACAAGGGCCCTATTAGCTGTATCAAAGTGAAGTGGTGTAAATAAAACTGATTTGACTTAAAAAGAAAGTAAGAATGAATGCAGAGTTATTTAAAAATTGCAATGCAGTCAGTATTGTTGTGTATGTCACTGCAGAGAAGAGCCAAGAAAATTATTCACAGGCTCTCTTTTAAGAGCATTACTGTCAGTTTTCCATTTCCAATACCAGAGGTAAATAGTAATTTGCCTAACAAGGAATTTCAGATTACTATCAAGCAGAAACATTAATGGCCTAATTTTAAATACACAGCACTGATTTCAGCAGAGGTTACAGACACTCAAAACTCCTGAAATTTATTTACTTGTTTGTTTTAAATAACCTTATTTCCAACAGGCTAATCCACATTTCTTTATTTACCTCAAGTAGTCATTTCTTCAAATTCTTTTGTTCAAATACGTTAACAGCTGTGCTGAGGAGGACTACTCAATAGTGGTCACCATTCAGTACAGATGTGGAAACAGAATTTGGTTCTGGAAGAAAACTTTAATTGATTTTACTTTTGTAAGAATGGGTCTTTGAAATAACATCCACTTGTTTAAATATTAAGTAGAAAAGAAAGCTGTTGGACAACTAACCTCAAACTAAAAGGTTATGAGCAACTGCAAACAATAGGATGATCAATTCCAATTTTACCCACTATTGAAAAGAAATCCTACATGTGGTATTGGATGAACATTTAACTTCAGCCTAAATGCTGAAAAGCTACTGATTGTCAATGAAATATTTAATTTAATCAGCAGATTTCCCAAAGATTCCACTGATTAGTGCAGCGTAATGCTGTATTAACGCTACTAAAAGTGACATATCATAAACAACTCCTGTATAATACTACAGCAATTTCCAGAGCAACCAGCTAGCAAACCTGTTCTGCAAACCAGAAAACTGGAGTAAGACCAAGCACCTCAAGTTTTAGCATGTCTTTTTGGAGCAAGGTACTGAACTTCTGTCATCCTCAAAGTTCAGTGGTCCCCATGAATAATAATGAAGAGGAAGACAAGATTTGTTGCTCTTTTTGGATCTCTAGACAATGATATGTAACAACACCCAGAAATGTAGTTAACAGCCTCCCAAATCAACATTCAAACAGAAAGGCACGATCTCCTTTTATAACTTGTGTTCTCAAAAACTAGAAGATTCCTATACAAAGATAAATACTCCCTTAGCTAGAAGGGAAAATGTCACACCATTTAGAATGTTTTTTTCTTTTTTTTTTTCTCTGTAAAGTCCAAATGGACTATCTTAATGCAAAAGTTACATGAATATATACAACCTGAAAGAGTATTTTTAATATATATATTTGTACATATATAAAAGTGACTGACACAGAAGGCAGAGAAGCAGGCTATATTCACTCTTTTCCCACTTCTTAGCAATGCAAGGCAATGTTTTTCAGATGCCATAGGCACAAAATATTTGGTTTGAACACACACTGGTGTCTTAGAATACACACGGTGAAATGTAATTCCCCATGGAAGGCTTGTTTGAGGGATACTGGACACAATGATTTAGTTTCATTAATACAGCCTTAGGCACCTTTAAAATAAAAAAGACATCTAATTCCAATGAAACTACTGCAAACTCTTCAATGGCATGTTTTCAAGTCCAATATAAAGTTTTTAAAATTGCAACTGAAGAACATCCAAGGTTAATTCTGATATCTCATTCTGATATAGCTGTCTTACAAAGGCCAAACATAATCTTAATGAAAGGCAAGAGGGACAGCAGGGCCCAGTGGTCACAGGAGACATCCCTACACCTGCCTGTACTATTAACTATTCATGTACCTGAGTTTGATGTACCTGTAAAATAAAGAATGACTGTCTGCTACGTGACAATGACAACAGTCTGCCTACAATGTTGGATGGAGTCATTAATAAGCCAAATCCTGCTTGGTGAAGAGTAGCATAATTAAATGCTTGAGTTCCCAGCAAGGATGAAATCTTACCCAGTCTTTTACATTACATTACAAGAACCTAGGAGCAACAACTTCAACAAGACATCACGACAGGCTGCCATTAATCTGCTTCCAAAGTCAGCCAAGCCCATCAGCATTACAATTCTCCAATACTTCCCCTCACATCATCTCAGTCCTGGTACCTGTGCTTGTAAATCTATCCAGCCCCTGCCTCTTACATAACATGGCAGTAGACCTCAGAACTGGAAATGAAAAAAAAAACCACCAAAAAATTCAAGTGTACGTGCGGGAACTGAGACTGAATTTGAATCGTTCCCCTACCTACACTCCAGCTCAAAAATTCTTGGGTTCTGAACATGTAACTTTTGGGTGAAAGAAGTTACCTTAGAAAGATGGGGAAGAAGAAAGCAAGAGGTGTGGGCAGTCTGCTTCCTTCATTTCCTTGGAACAGCAAAGACTGCTTAATGGTACGGTTCTTTTGCATAGAAGGAGTGGGAAATGCAGGATAGACAAACACAAATAATTTTTCATGGCAAATTTCCGCCTGGACAAGAGGAAGACACTGCATTGTTTTCTGTATATGGAGCACAAGCACAGCACTGCAGTGGCATTTAAACTCATGGCTTCTTCCCTCTTACCACTCTGAATACCCTTACCTCTGAGATGCTTTCACATGGGTGATTTCAGTAAGGTGTACTGAAACACACTCGAGAGATCATTCCAAGAGTTAGGACAAAACAGACATAAATAATCCTGGTTTTCTGCAGAAGTTAGAATTTCAACCAAATGAACATGAATAATGCAAACTCCATAAAAAATGAGATCATCAAAAATTAAACTCTGACATCTAGAGTTCCTGTGGAGCAGCAGAACTAAACCTATGTGATGCACTACATACATACCTACACATAGTATTACACATGTATATCCATGCATGTACTTACACACACTAAAGACAGGGACAACAAGCCTAACACCTTCCACCACGTGACCTACTTTCAGATATTTTACCGATATAACAAACTAGCCATTGAACTTAAAGCTTTCTGTGCTGGGTGTTTGCCTCAGACTGGTTTTGGTGTTGAAGATTTAGCTTTAATAATTCGGATGTTTTCTTTGTTCTGTTATTTAGTTGTGGTTGTTTTTTTTTTTAAGAGGGAATACATTGAGTAATGTTGTTTTTCCACACAGAAAAAGAAGTCTTGAGCTGTGTTTTTGAGAAGCTTCAGTGCCTCTGTACTCAGCCTTGAAGTCTGACAGATAAACCTTTGTGGTGTTGCTGAGACAACCCATGCAAATCTGGCCTAGATACTAGCATCTGTGAAAAAACCCTTGTTTGCTCAGTTACAGTTGTTGCATCCTTACAAGCTTAAAACTCCTTCATGGTGAGAATGTTCCAGGCCATGAAGAGAGGGGTCAAGTAGGACATCTGCAATTTGAGCACTGCCAGGGGGCTGGCATTGGGCATCAGATCTCCAAGCAGAACGACTGCTTCTCGTGCTTCATTGACCACCAGTTGGCACCAGGCAGTAAGAAGAAACAGCTCACATGTTGACAAGATAGGAGGCAGTTTGAAAACAAGAGTCCTTCTGGCACAGTCCTTGTGTGGAACTTCTGTATATATTATACACATACATATATACATTCATATACAGTAAGCAGTCCAATAAATACATCACATCAGTTCTTTTGACACAGTACTGATGTTTCTCTTATTTGTCTGAACCAGAACCTGCTCACAGAAATATTATGGAGAGTTGATATGACTCCAGGGTTAGCCCTCTGTACTTGATGAGCCCAAAATGCTGAATTCAAATACTTAGTGTGAATTCAAATCAAGTCATCATTCAGGCACATGTCCCCCTGAAACCTATTAGCCACTGCAGACTAACTCATACAGACACAGTAAAAGCCTTCCTGCCCATCCCAAATACTGGAGCAGTTACACTTCTCTTTCAGCGACGTGGTTGACCAGAGAATCGCTCTGATCTACTGTCCTCCCAAGAAGAGTTCTGTGGCCATCCATGCTGCCATGGATGTCTCCTGTCCATCCACTGTCGGATGTGCCCAGAGGACTTTCTGCCCTGGGGGTGTCTGTGCTGGCCAAGCTTCCTGTCCGAGATCGGTAAGGAGGAAGATCTGGTTGATTAGGGGATTCAGATTCAGAACAATAAGGTGGTGGAGGAAGGTCAAACCAAGGTGGTCTGCTGTAAAATACACAACAGAACAAGAAGTTACTGAAAACAGTGGTACAGAAGACAGCACATAGTATTCCAATTATGAAAAAACCAAACACTATTTCTTAGTTTTTCAATTATGACACATATGAGGAGATCTCAGACCTGCCTGTAGGTAATTTCAAAATATCCACATCGTCCCTGGGAACCCAGGTTTCTGGTCAAGGTGCAACATAAATAATTACATCCTGCTTAACAATCCACACTCTGAGTTAGGACCTCCAACAAAGCCGGCTCAAAGACAGCTGCAAGAGGTAAAAATTTTTTCTGTATAATATTTACACCAGAGAAAGCACTTTGAAAGAAATATCGTAAGTGGTGGATTTACACCTACAGATAATGATGTGAACACAAGACTTAAGCTCCCAGGAAACCTCCATTAAGTGACAGAGATTAATGGCTTAGAGTCTATGAATAAATAACAAACTGAATTCTCCACACTGACAAATCACTTCTGCTGTCGTGAGACCACATACAGAGCAACTGCTAAGTAGCCACAGACAAGATGAGTACTGCATTCAGGAAAACTGTTCTGTGGTTCTGATAGCAAACAAATAAAGGGACTGAAGGGTTGAGTAGATTGATAACAGGTCCTGGGAGCAATTAGCTCTGAAATTGCTGATGGTTTGTATCAGCTCAGGTGAGAAATGATTACAAGCTGGACAGCTGCTCATTTAGTTGTCCTTACTAATGAAAAGAAATAATTATTATGAAAGTCAACATTAAGACAAGAGCTCTGCAGCCAAAGGCAACAGAGAATAGGAATGTAAATTTATTATTCTTAGATCTCACAGTTCATACTAAAAAATACCAACGTGGTGATAGAGACCAATCTGGATCATTAAAGTTTGTACCATACCCTTTTTATGTAGGGAGGATGTCAGTCTAGGATTTTTGTTGGGAAAGACTTTACAGACAGAGATTAAAATGAGGGTTAATTCCCTACAAATAAAACCAGTGTCATAACTACAAAAACATCAAAAACATCATAAGCCAAACCACACCCACCCACCAAACTTCAAAGCACTTTCAGCTATTTAAAATAAGAACAGTGCTTTACATTTCAGAGTCCCGTTCTTTTCTTCTGTTGGTAAAGTAGTGCAGAGCAGAAGAATGATACAATTTCTTTATAGAGGAATTGAAGAACTCTCTCACTCTTATATACTTACCGTATATGAACGGGATTGTTTTTTTTTTAATGCTATGACCTGTAACATAGCTGGTTTTTTAGCAAAACTCCAAATTCAGTTTTCATGTTTTGACTCCAGACTAGCACAGGATATCAATACTAGACAAGTGATACATTCTTTTGCATTTTCCTACCATCCTCAAAATCTCTACTATCAACAACATGTGCTAAGAGAACCTGATTTAAAGTTTGCCTCAAATCCCTTCAATATCAGTAACAGTAAAAGGACCTGAGGACCATGAATTTTTCAGATACAGGAGGAGCTCAAATTTACCCTGAAATTTCACCCTATGCATGCAACACAAGTGCAACACCAGAATTCTGTCAAAAGCAGTAATAAGAACAAGTGGGGAGCAGCATCACAGCTCAACAGAGCTGTAACGACCAGTGTGAAACAGAGTTACCTCCTGTACATACCTTTGGTCGAGCACAGCCTCCGAGTAGGATGGCGGGGAGTCCAGGTCCACAGGCCTGTGGTAGGCCTGGTTGGACATGTACTGTATCCCATTGTTGACGTTGTAGGTGACGCTGCAGTGGTGTGGGTGATCCAGGACCACCAGCCGGGACAGAAGCACAGGGTGCTGCAGGCGATGCACCGGCAGCGTCATGAGATTGTTGCGCTTCCGCTGGTGGTGCAGGACCAAGGCAAGAAAGGCCACCACGAGTACGAAAATGACAGAGCTACCAATGATGGCATAGGTAATACTAGGGTAGTAAAGCAGCTGGTTTTCTGAGGTCACGTAGTCTTGGCCGCTGCCTGCCTCTGTAAGACAAAAGGAAAAGGAAGCCTGAGATTTGTTTCAATATAAAACTGCTTTTGACCTGTGCTGTGTTTCCTGCTAACACACTGTGCAACAAAAGCAGGTTTTCCTCTTTTGTCTGGATTGTGAAAGATTGGATTATTAAAAGCACATGCATGCAAATAGGAGACTGGCTGGCTGTCCCTCAGTCCATCCTCATTCACAGTAAGTGCCAGCCCATAAACTATTAGGCAGAGACAAACTGAGAAAGAGAAAAATGCACACCATAGCAGGAAGTATGCGCGCTATTGTGGAAGCATCTCCCCATCCCTACCTATCAGTCATTAACTTTTGTTTCCAGAGGTGAGAAACCCTGTTCAAGCCATAACCACAGTACCTCAGCTGCACCTGACAAACCACATTAGAATCAGAGATGCAGAAGGCCTGATATCCACTTTTTTTTACTTTACATACCCCTGACACCATTTCAGCCCCATGTTCACAAGGTCATGCAGCCTTCGAGTAACATTTTCTTTTTTGGGCAAAAATTTCCATTTCTGTGCAGGCCGTAATTCCTTATGGACTCAAACAGGCTATTCTGACATTCCTCGACCTCAAGAAAAACGAGAGGCTGAGTAAAAAGCAAAGCAAACCAACCCAACCCAAAATCCACACAATTACAAGAGCATGATCCATCCAAATTCTTAATTTCCTACTGCAGAAGGCTGGGACAGTAAATCTTGATTTTCCTTTCTTTTCTCTATCAACCAAAACTGCTTTTTCATCATTCAGAATTGCAAAAGAGTCACTAATACATTTCTCTAGCAACAGAATAATGAAATAAATATTGACTGTGTCCAGCATAATAGAAGAGCTTTCCTCAAGCACCCATTGTTCAGAGGTATCTCTCTCAATATTTGATTTTGGTACTTCACTTCCACGGTTAAACAAATCACAATTTCCAGCATCACTAAAAATAACTTCCATATTAGTTAACAGGATAATACAACATAAAATGGCAAATCCTTTAAACATATCTATTTTAAAGCATAGATATTTAGACACTGGAACAGGTTGCCCAGAGAAGCTATGGATGGCCCATCCCTGGAAGGGTTCATCCAAAGCCAGTTTAGATGGGGCTTTGAGCAACTTAGTTCAGTGGAAGGTGTCCCTGCCCACAACAGAGGGTTGGAACAGGATGATCTTAAGGTCCGTTCCAATTCAAACCATTCTATGATTCTGTGATTATTGATCCTGCTACCGACTATGAAAAGTAGCACTCAAATAGATGTGTTTTACTGATGATGCCACTATAACCATAGACCAAAGCTCTGCAGGACAGCTGCAAGCCACAGACTTTGATTGATACCTAGTGTAACACCTCAGGGAGGATCCTTACTAAATTTATTTCTCCATGCAACTGTGCTGGAGAGAAAGCAGAAATCACTGTTACCAGTCAACAGTAGGTCTCTGGCTCACTCAGCAAAGTGAACAAAGTCTGCATGAAGAATGTAAATCAAAGCAGAAGGGAGGAAGGGAATTGACATGCATTAATAATTTTAATTACAGCTCATCACATATTACTGTGCCTCTTTTAATACACCCTTAAATTCAACAGCTGAGAAACGAATTCAGGTCACGTATCACAGACAAGGGCCAGCACAGGGAGTATAATGACAAACAGATCATTTTTATGCAAACATCAACAAGTTTATTTGCAAGGGTTGATCCATGGATGAATACCACTACCTGCAGTCTTTAGTGCAAGGAAGGTAAATATATTATGACATCCCAGTAAAACACCACAAGACTCCCATTCACCTTAGCTCACTGTTTACACTGCACTGGCATAAGACTGAAACCAGTACGCCTTTGCAGACTTGATGAGATCTAATTAGTTACCATGGGATCATTCTGCAGCACAGTCCCTTCCCTTTATAATCTCCATCTTATTAAAAGGGAAGAAAAATGAGAGAAGTATGTAAACTTCTTTTCTAAACTTTAAAGGTTATCCACCTGTTTAGGATAGTATCTTCTAGGTCCTGCACCAAACAATTCCATAAATCCAAATGGATTAACCAGACTGCTGAAGAAGTACTTTGTCAAAAGTCAGATGGGATCTGATGATCAGCTTTAGG